ACTACATTTGTTGAGAGCTATGCTACACGATGTATTATTATGTCCTTTATTCAAACACTGTATTACCTTTCTTTGATGATTTATAATTCAACAGTGTTAACAGCTAATTTGATTTACCGTATATTGTATGCAATTATTTGTTTCTAGCCGTACCTATTGTGTAATGGAGTGTATCTGGCAGTATTTGAATCTGTTCGACCACGAAGCCACTGTGGTCTAATGGTGAGACACTCGCTTTGACAGTGAGTGGTTGCAGGTTTGAATCCCATCAGAGGAATTTCATTACACAATTTCTTTATTCATTTATTTTTAGGATGACATTCGTTGAGAGCTATGCTACACGATGTATTATTATGTCCTTTATTTGAACACTGTATTTATAGGGGATGAAATTGAGGGGAAAAAATTAATAATGTTAACCTATAATTATAATTAAGTGTTCTTTTGAGTTGGTTAGAAAAGTCTACCTGAGGTATATAAGCCTTAAACTTTGGCCATCTGAGTAAATTTATATTTTTTCAGGTTATACAGTACCTTTGATACATACAGTACTTTAAACAGAACTATTTTGGTAGAAACAAATTCTGCCAATCAGTCAAATTTTAAGCCAAAATAAGCTCTAAAAGTTTCACCTAGCATAGTGAACTTTAATTGCTACAGTGGGTTTAACACTGCTGTTGTAAATCCCTTAATTTTAGGCCTACAAACTCGACATTCATTTATTTTTATAGCACCTTATTTTCATATGTAAGGTATTTTCAACATCAGAGAGCTTTATATACCGTAATATATTATATATCTGTACCTTAAATATTAGGTGAACCACTAAATTTTTACGATGAGTAGATCACGAGTTAGCTCATGAATACTAAAAATTAAGGGGTAGGGCAAAACACTCTTATGGTATTTTCCTGACACAAACTCAAATCAAAATAAATGGATTTACTGCAACATTACGGTAAATCCATAATTTTTGCTGGGTACAGGGTAACCTATATAATTCTGCCACATGATCACCATTAGGTAAATTAAATTAATATATATGGAGGCACAACATAAATAAATATAATATAAATCATCATAGGTACATATACAGTGTTTAAATAAGGACATGATGGAACATCGTAGGCTACCCTGTAGCTTTTCAACGAATAAAGTCCTATAAAAGTCATTGTGTAATAAATTGCCTCCGACGGGATTCGAACCTGCAACCTCTCACTGACAAGGCGAACGTCATAACCACTAGACCACAAAGGCTTTATGGTTGAACAGGTCCAAATAACCGTCGAATATATATATATATATATATATATATATATATATATATATATATGCAATAGAAGCGTAGTGTACTGACACAGGATTTAATTTCTATTGGCATATTTAGTGAGGATAAACCCTGATTAAGTTGCACTATTGTTTTCCATTAAACTTAACATTTTGTTGGTTATTGTGCTGGTTATTCTCAGTAAAGATTAATGTTCTTAGCTAAACTCTTAAGATCAAAGAAGCCTGTTAAAAAGCTTCATACCGGAAGGAAATGACATCAATAAATATTCATTATCATAACATAACAAACACATACAGGAGTTCATGGATACTATAGAGTTCATGTACAATGTAATAAATTATTATTAGTTTATTAGTAATATTGAAATATTTATAATAAAACAAAACATGAATAAAGACACAAGCAAAAAGGGATCATATTGAAATTTGGGAAAAATGTATTAATCGTAGTCAAACTAAATTATATCATAATTAACATTAAAAATGAGTTAAAAATTATTTAATTAATTCAGCTAATATTTTTCATATCTGACAATCTGTTTGAGATCTATGCTGTAATTCTGATTAGTGGTTAACCATGTTTTCTCTTGGTCAGACTGTCTCAATACATGTAGCGTTTTAATGCTGATAAGGTCATGATATAAATGAAATACTTTGCCTGTCTTGAGAGAATCAAAGATGTGAATATGCAATTATGCCTTAGGTTATGTTGTTACATTATGCCATCATTCAAGATTGCGAATGTACTGATGTTGAATATGAGAGAATCAAGATTTTTATAGCCGTATGTGGACAATAAGTAATTCAGCTAGATGCAGTTGCTCAAAAAATATGCATTTTATGATGCACATTGTGTACAGTAGTCCTATGGTAAACTTAGTAAAATAAATACAACCTAATAAATTAGGCCAAGTTAATGCAATGAAGAAATAATTGATACTTTCATAATTATACTATAAATTCCACAGTGGTGGATTTAGACGGTGACGTAAGGGGTGTACGCTACCCCTATTTTTTGTATAAAGAATTTTTGTAAAGCATATCAGAAAATCACTATGCAAAATATTAAAGATCAATCAAATACAAACTCAAATTAATTATAGTGCTAGAAGTTTAAGGGGGATTTGCACCCCTGCCAGGGTTCTTCCCCGAGGTTTTTACTCCGTTCGCACATTCACGCCCCCTCTTTCTTACAGGGCTGGATCCGCCCCTGTGCCAGTTATTATACCATATGAGTAGGATTAACTGGGTGTGTGAAAGCTCCTCTTTATATCTGAACTAACACCCCTATTATGAAATGGATTACTCCTTTGCTAATGGTATTTCTTTCTACTGGCATTTTTTCCTACACCTTGCTCTACTTGCTGCTCTTAGGCTTGCATATTTTTTACAACATTCAAAAGACACAAGGAGGATACATGCTATTGTTAATCTAAATCAATAATGCAGAGCATCACCTGCTGTAGTTCTTTCATTGATTGCAATTTTACGTCAAAATTTATTAAAATGATGGTCAAATTATCCTGTTGTGAAGCGAAAGCCCTTCATAAAACAGCAGGCAATGCAGTGCACATATTTCATGTGTGATTAAAAATTGTATTTGGTTCTTTTGATTAGCAAATCCAATGTTTATAATTAATTAATAGGTCCTTTTCCAGATTTTAAAATATTTTTATCAAGATTTTAAAACTGCTGTGTAAATGCTAAAATATTATATTATTATTATTATTGTAATTATTATTATTATTATTATTATTGTTATTATTATTATTATTATTATTTCCAAACGGTCGATATAATTTAAGCAGAACACAGATAACCAAACCCAACATGTTTCAGTAGGTCAACTACCATCATCAGTGAAGAGTATAACAATACTAAGCATGACAATGAGTTACGAATTTAGCCGTAACAACAAAATAGATTAATCATGAATATAGATGAAGCAGAATAAATAAAATAGCAATTGAATAATGAAAAAGGTAATCCTTTTTTATAAAAGGACAATGTTATATTTACGACATACAGTAGTTGTTTGCTGAGCGAAGGCTACTCTCACTGAATATGCAGCGCTTTCTTGATTTTGAGAAGCTGCGTTGTGAGGGCAGAGTCCAATATAATAAAAATGAGGACGTGGAGGTAGTAAAATTATGGTTATGCTCGGTGAAAAGGATGATTGCTAGTGATAGTTATCAAATTTGAAATGTAAGTGTAATTGAGCTTATTGAACATTGAACAATAAAATTGTATTACGGTAGTTTTTTGCATAATGGGTACAAATTGTCTAGACTATAAAGTCAGTATAGTGTAAGTAGGTACCTTTTACATCTTGAACACAAGTGTACTGATTTTTACTAGCTAGAACATTATGGAATTTTCCCCCCCTAGGGAGTTGATGTGATCGAATGACCTTGATAATGATGTGAGGCACATTAAGGCTTTGCTAAGGGTGATTCGTTGCTGTACAGTATATAATGCTGAAATATTATTGTATTGTTCTTGTAGGTGTGTACGACCCTCTATTGGCTAGGTAGGGTTGCGGCTCAAAGACATAACTATCTTGGACCTCAGTTAAACCTAGATGAATTTGCTCCTCTGATATTTGGCTTTGCAAGATCTTCGTACAAGGTAAGAATCCTGAAATGATTACAATGATGGTAATATTGAAAAGAAAAATTAGAACATTGAAAATACATTTCGTAGATTAAAAAATACCAAATTAAAACTTAAGCATAAAGACCATGCAGTTAAGAAACCAAGAAACAATAATAATTTAGATTTAAAGAGGCAACGATGAAAAAGAGGTAACTTATTTAAAATGTGTTTGGATTAAAATACCCTAATGTTTTGCGGAACAACTTAAAAATGTTAAACATATTGTAATGTCATTAAACATATTGTAATGTCATGCCAAAAAATAATGCCAAATTATGATTTCCTTATAGTACCAATGAAGTATGGGTGTAGCAAAGTAGAATGAACAGATTTGATGTGCATTTCAATAACATATCTAACAATAGGTGGCGCTATTTTGTTTTCTTTTCTTACCAAACAACCATTAAGCTGAAGGTTTTATGGGAACTCTGACAAATTATAAAATTTATTTATCAAGTACTGCATAGAAATAATAATAATATTAATTAATATATAGTGCCAATATTAATAAACAATTGCTTTTTCTTAGTTTTGATGTCAATGTATTAAAAAAAATAACTCACAATTTTATACCTTAACTCTTTCACTACGTAATTTGCTATTCCATATTTCCCATATCTGGACGGAATAAAATTCAGGAAATTTGGGGAAAATAGGAGATATATAGAAAAAGCATTATAAGTTTTTAATTGGCTTTCCAAAATATACAAAAGTATATATATTCTTTATCCTTGAGACCTTCTCTGTCTAACTATAAGAAAATTGTCACTGTCGTCGGTGCTAGTGTTATGCACGCTTTCACTATCATCACTATCATGACTAGGCCTAGCTAGGCCTACACTATCATCATCGCTAATATCCATCATCTTGTGATTCAGGGGCAGTGTTTGAACAATCACTATCACTCTGGGTATCATCATCATTGACATCCCACTGTGCAAGTCTGCGAAGCACTTCTCCTGCAGTTAAATTACGTCTCCCAAGCGCAGCCATTGAAATGTTACTCAAAACAACAATGCCTGCTTGAAGCCTGTTTCAGCCTTTATTCAGACGGAGAGTCGCCCTCAACGGCTCAAAATAAGGTCAAAGGTCATGCAGATTGTTGTTCAATATAATATATGCAAACGTCATGGGGATATCCCCGGGATATCTTCGGGATATCTTCATTTGTTTACAGTGACGTCAACAAGCCGCTGTCAGCGGCTTTCCGCTCAAACTGCATATTTTATCTGCGCCGCTGTGAGCGGCTCGCCGTAGCGAAAGAGTTAAACTGTAAACCTACATCAGTATCTTGTACTACCCATTATCCTTCCTTGTAAACAATTTAGTATTAAAATGGCTACAGTCAAATATCAAATTGTTAGTTAATATTAATGATTCACTATAACAAATTACAAAAAATAGCTATTGTAGTTTTAACATTGATGATTCTAGCCAACATTTCAATGAAATAAAAGCGTTTTTATTTATTTATTTTTATTTATTTATTGCACATCCAACAGTGTATACACCAATTACAGGATGAAAATATAAAATATAAAAACTTACACAATATCAATGGAAAACCTAAAGTTATTTTACAGACTCAAATGTGATAGACTTAAACTGAGAGAAACTACAATGAAAAATATCAAATTCAGGATAATTACAAACACAATTATTATAGAACGAAGACAGTCTACCAAAAATACCATTTTTACAAACATTAACACGTGAGAATTGTACATTTAAAATAGGCTTAGAACGAAGTCTACGAACAGGGACATTAAGATAAAAATTAGAAACAATATTACAGGTAAACATTGAATTTAAACACTTATATAAAAAAAGTAGGTCATTAATTTGTCTTTTAATCTTTGGAGAAATAATAGGAGTTTGGCAAGGCCAACAGGTTTCTGGGCCGAGAAAACGTAAAAACTTACCGTGGATTCTTTCAATTCTAGATGATTGTGTGTCAGATATGGAAT